AATAGAAGCCAAGGCATTAAGGATATCATAGCCAGTAGATAGATCTTGACTGAAAGCAGGTAGTACCAGAGGAATGACTATTCTGTGTTTCATTGACTGTGCAAAGGTATTTGACTGTGTGGATTATAACAAATTGTGGCTGACTTTGAGAAAAATGGGAATCACAAAACATTTGATTGTGCTCATATGACGCCTATACTTGGACCAGAAAGCAGACCTCAGAACAGAACAACAATAAAACACTGCATGGTTCAAGATCAGGAAAAGAGTATATCAGGAATGTATCTTGTCTCCATATTTTTCAATCATTTTGCAGAACATATCATTTGGGAGGTTGGGCTTGATGAAGAGGAAAGTGGTATTAGGATTGGAGGAAGACTCATCAAGAACCTTTGTTATACAGATGACACAACCTTGTTTGCTGAAACTGAGGAAGACCTGATGTGTTTGCTGCAGAAGGTCAAGGACTGTATTCTTCAATATGGATTGAAACTCAGTATCAAGAAAACAAAGATTTCCACCACTGGACTGTGATAGACTGAGAAGAAATTAAGACTGTTACAGTTAAGTTTCAGCTTGCTTATTTCCACAATCAACATTCTTGGAACCAGCAAACAGGAAATCAAAAGATGCATTGGATTACGAAAAATCTGCTGTCAGGAACCTCTCCAGTGTGCTGAAGAGCAACGTTGTCAGTCTGGAGATTAAGATGTCCCTGATCCAAGCCATGGTCTTTGCAGTTACTTGTTACACATCAGAGAGCTGGACAGTGACTAAGGATGGCAGAAGAAGAATCAGTATCTGAGTTGTGGTGGAGAAGAGTTTTGACGTATTCTTAGACTGTGAAGAGAACAAATAGTTCTTTCCTGTAGAAGGTGAAACCAAGTTACTTTTTGTAGGTGAGGATTTTGAAGCTCTGTCTTACATACTTTGTGCAAGAGGGACCAGTGCTTACAGAGGGACACTGTGGTTGAAAGGGTAAAGGGTCAGCGCAGGAGAGGAAAACACTGGATAAGATGGTTTACTGGAGTAACAGGGGTAGATATTCAGAGATAGATTGGCTTGGAATAGCGCAGGATTCAGAGCTGTTGTGTTAGGGTTCCTGTGATTTACACTCGGACATCATGCTTGGGAGGGTGGAAGGACAGCGCAGGAGAGGAAGGCCCTCTATGAGGTGGATTGATTCAGTGACTGGGATAATTGGGATGGGAGTGTCAGAGACAGTGCGATTGGCA